ACATTGATATATTTGGGGGTTTCTAAAATCATTGAATTAGTCCTGTTCCTAAATCAGTTTCTCTTTATAAATTTTGGCTCTAGATGTAGTTACCTTATTATCTCCCTGGGTAAGAAAATAGTTATATAGGTAATTGTTAAATGCAGCTGAAAAGGCTATTTATCACTCTGAATAAACAGAAATCAGGTTCTAGAACCAGATTGAAAGAAGGAAGTTACATCACACTCTTAAATAAGGAAGCACAGGGCAGAACTAGATGAGTTGTATGACAAAAATGTGCCACTCCTCCTCTTGTGAATTGCTTCTGAGATTTATTAATGAGATCTGGTGGCAAGGTAAAAGCATATCTAGGTTACCGTCTTAAGGCAGCCTGTGTTTTTTTTTAAGTTTTAAGTGACTGTCCTCAAGCTAAAGGCATATGATTTCACCTTAATAGAGAATGTGCTGCAGTGTGCTTTTTGGTATAACTTTTTTAAAGGAAAGTGACCTTAATGTTCAGTAGCAGAAACACTCTAGGTGCGTTGTAATCCAGGGAATAATGGGTAAGAGAAGACAAAACTCACTTTTCAGAAAACACCACCCATTGGCTTGAAACAAACCTACAGTAACAGAAACCAGTTTAGAAAGTTACAATGTTAACCATTTGAACTTTGACATTTTGCCAGTCTACAGGCTGTCCACTTTGGATTTTGGAAATTAATAAAAGTTTCCTGCATGGTACATATCCTAAACTTGCTACATTAGTATTGGAGAGCCTCATCACTCCAGCAAGTGTTAAGTTTTTCCCTTAGAAATCTTTGCTTTTTTTCCCTTGTAATTACTTTTATTAAAAAATGAAAAGGATATTTTCTCAATGTCCATTTAACAAATATTTATTAGGAATTAATGACGCCAGGATCTTCAAGGGAAAAATGTTAAGTGGACATCAGTCTTATCCTGTGGAAAATTCGGAGAATGGGAGGGAAATGAGAACACAGGACACAGAAACACACTGCTCTGGTTTTTCACAGAAGGGAAAGCCTTCATGGAAAAGGTGGTATAAGAGATGGCCTTAAAAGGATAAGTTGAATTCTGACAGATTGGGGAAAAGAGAAGGTAAGAGTTAGAAAAAGGTACGTGAGGACAATGCTGTGGAGGCTGTAAGTGCCAGGCTGAGGAACTTCTAATTTCTGTAGGAGCCTTTAGAGATTTTTGAGCAATGGAAGATCTTAGTTTGAGCTGTAGTTTAGGACTACTTGTCTGATCCTGGTATGTAGGATGGGTTGGGTGTGTTCATACCCAAGGCATAATGTTGCCAGTTGAATGGAAGAGAAGGTAGATTTGAGAAACAGTGTAGAAAATGGGCTCTGGGACTTGGTAATGGAGTGTGTATTGGCTGTGATTCGGTTACAAATAGTACTTTTAGAAGTGTGATCCTCCCAGAGCATGGCCTGGTTTGAGGTAAGGGTCAGTCAGTAAGTGGAAAGGAGGCACTTGGTTTGTAGAGCTTGAGATGCCAGAAGACCATCCAAGTGGAAACATAATCAGCAGACAATAGGAGATGCAAAGTTGCAGCTTGAGGCAAGGCTAGAGTCATTGATTTTGGAGCTGTCTAAATATAGTTAAGCTATACAAGTGGATTAAAACTCTGAGGAAGGATTATATGTGGAGAAAATAATGAATGGATAACCTCAAGAAACAAATAGTTTAGGGGTTCTTCCTCCCACCCCCACCCCTTTGAATTGAAAAAAATGTCGGTGGATGGCTAACAGGAAAAGGTGTTTCCATCTGGGATTGGTATTTAATTGCACACACTGTAAAAAGGCTAAAGATTACTAATCATGGGTTCTGGAAGAGTTATCATGCCCAAGGTTATTTGGATCCTGATTTAAACCATGCTGTCTTGGATGAACATTAGCTTTCATATTTTTGCATTTCATAACAGAATACCATCTTATACTTTTAGATATTGATTCTCCCATGGAGATCTGTAATTGTTTCCTAATAAATTAAGGCAGAGCTAGATTTACATTTATAAGGAAAACAGATCACATTTTAAATATTGCAACATTAGTTAACTTTGAGCAGAGAGTTTCTTTTAAACTCGAAGTTTACCATCTTGGTTCATTTTTTTCCAAGGAATGAATTATATAGATATATAGATATATATATACACACATATATATATATATTATATAATATATATATATGTATATCTCGGAAGGAAGGTTGGGCA